GGTTGTTTTCTGCACATCTTGATCTACCACTGATATTTCATGATACCTAGAATGAAAATCAAGTCACGTAAATATTTAGCCTTTAAGAATTGCTCAAATAAGTCATCAATGCGAGGCAAAGAATAACTGTTTCTAACCATAATCTTGTTAAGAGCCCAATAATCAATACACAACTTCATAGTTCTATCCTTTTTTATAACAAAAAGGACTAGTGCTCCATAAGATGACTTGTTTGGTTAGATATAACCTTTATTAAGAAGCATCGTGAGTTGCTTCTTGAATTCAACCATCTTTTTTATATTCAAATAATATAAAACTTTTGTAGGTGGTTTAGAACTTGGAACAATCTCAATCCAATGATCAACCTCACAGCTAAAATGTAGCTCTGGCAGCAAATTCTTTGGAAAGATATCTTAATTCTATGCCAACAACTCTAATATTTCCTTTAGTACAAAATAAACTCTATCACCAATTTAAACTGGGTCACCATCACCCTTACCTTCATCACTTGAACCAAAAAGGTCTAACATCCTTTCTTAGCTGTTTTTTGAGTGGCTTTTACAATCAGGAACTTAGCATTCTACCTTTGAGGAGCACTTTTGCAATTGGAAGGACACATTAAAAGTCTTTTTATATGACTTTATCTAGCATCAAAAAATTATTTGATATATTTGTTGAAGAAATCCATGCCAAACACCATCTAAAAATTTAATATTTTCAACACTACCAAGTTCAATCTCTCTTTCCACTTAGATATTTTTATTAGAACATCACTCACAAATTTTCTAGCTACTTGTCCACCTTCTACAAAACAAAAGTGTATGGATTGCACTTAGCTTTCAATTCTAATAACTTTACTAAGTCTTCAAATATCATGCTATGCATAACTCTTATACCAACCATCATTCAGATTTAGTGTCCGTAGATAAAGCCTACAAGATACATCAACAGATCAGTGCTTACATTGATTGTGAGAAAAGTTTGAGGGAAATAGAAAAAGTAACTCATCTCCTCTTTCTCATAATTTATATTGACAACTTCGTTAACCCCTTCAGCTTCACCACCACCATCTTCCCTCATGACATTAATGAGACCTTGTTTTATGCTTGTTAAGACATTCTGAAGACCTTCATAATAGAAGCAATAACCATACTACTCATTCATTAGGAGTAGGTTTCATAAATTGCTACTACTTGTACCCACCAAGAGGAAGACCAAAGGGCCTAGGACCAAAAGAAGCTATCAGTGGTTGCCAACCATTATCTTTATTAACTGTTGTTTGTGAGCCCTCATGGTGGAACTTTCCTTCCACCCTCTGTTTTAGATCATTTTGTTTATTCCCAAAGTTCTTATTCTTATTCAAGGTATCAACATACGGTTGTTGATACTATTCCATGAATGAATGACTAAAGGCAACTTGTTGTACTACATCTTTACATTCCAAATATATCTTTGGCTTAAATTTTAAAATCTCATTATGAGAAAGTGAACTCAAACCTTCTAGAAAATAACATCAAACATCTTCATCATTCATATTTACAATCATAATGCACTTCTTTGAATTGACAATCACAAATCACTTCACTTCACAGTAAGTTGATACAAAGAGGTAGAACATATATTTTGTATGTTTTTTGGTTTTTTCCACATCTATCCAGCAAGCAATATATCATATCATACAATATGTCAGCTTCTTGCTGGATGGTTCATTATTATGATCACTAACATGATTTAATTCTAGAAAAGGTGAATTATAAAAATTCAAGTACTCAAAAATCCACTAAGTCTCCACCCATTTGGACTTGGAACCTTGCCAGCTACTGAAATTGAAATTGTGTATACTCTAAAGATATGTGTTACACTTAAACACTAACATGCAACTCTAAATCCTAAACAAAAAACATAATACAAATATAACATTTTAAAGTCATTGTGATGGATATCCAGGGATTTATATAATGATGGATAATGTCTCACCAATGATATTAACTTATCTCAGTCAAGAAGGTTGGAGCAGGTAAACTGTAATACCCTTCATGATTATGCTACCCTGGGAGAATTAATGACTACAAATTATGATTGAAATAGAAAATGGTTGTCAAAATCAAGCATATCACTTGATCTGGAAAAAAAATTTAAGCTCCCTATAGTTCACAGTTACATGTATTTTTTAATAAGACCATGTGCAAATGATCAATTGAAAGAAGGATATGGAATTGAAGATTTATCTTACAAATTTGGAAAGTTTCTAGAGAGGAGAACATTCAGTGTTATATGAAAAGCTCTTCTGAGACTATATTTCTTAGGGATGATAAGCTTATTGACTTTAAAAATCATATTGTTACTTTTAAATGCAATGAATCAAGGTTGGTGGCACAGATTTCAATCTTCACATGGTATATATGAGGTGAGTAAAAATAAATTCAAAGATATGAATAACTTATGTTGGTGTTCTAACACTCCAAGCGATATTAGTTTAGCTGCAGAAAAAGTTTGGGCCTTTAGAAAACTTTCCAGAATTTCCTTAGGGTGAGAAGACTTAGATGAACTTCGGAATCTCCCATGCTTCATTATAAGAAAATAATTAAAACGGAATAATATTTGTGCTTAGGATCAATCACAATGGCATTGCAAGCAGCACCAACACTCCTTTCAACTTATACAGAGTGGATCTTACAGGCAATCACGAACATCCCCAATTGGAAACATCTGGAATTAATAGCATTATATTTATGATCTCCTCAGCATCATCCAAGAGCCCGCAAGAACACTGATCAAGCAGCAATAGTGAACTTGAGACTTAGAAACCATTGGAGCTAGTGTGTCTCTAGTAGGGATTACCAGCACAAGGTGGCAGAAAACGATCAAAAGGCCCATGAAACTCTTGAATCCTTCCAGATTCAAGACTTTAAAAAGCTGAATGGACAGATCACCATGTAGATTCTGGGTAAATGACACGATAAGAACATTCCTGGTCACGATGTTTGGCTGTAAACAGCATCTAAACAATGCCCAAGCGGTCGTCCAAGTGTCCATTTTTGCCCATACACTCTGATAATGTAATTCCTTTAGAACGTCTACGGTGTCAAACAAGCACTTTGCTTCTCTTTTGGCATATGTAGTGATCATAACATTCCATGCTAAGAAAACTGTCCACGAGACAAGGTTTCTTTGAGGCATTGAATCAAAGAGATTGTGAATCCAGTGACAATAGCATACAAGGTAGCTCATGCAAACTACGTTCCATTCTAGAATTCGATCAAAAACAAGCCTTGCGACGTACATTTACCAAAGAATCGCATTCCATGTCACTACATTCTTCCCAGGCACGGAATAAAAAGCGTGCAAAGCTGATGATTGTGAATGTAATCTTGGAGCAGGATTTTCCATGAAAAGGAGTCTGGGGCGCGAATGGAGCCAAACACGCGGCGTGCATCGCCAGAGCTCCCGCATTTGCCATGCCTTGGAATCCTGTGGTGTGTCAACGCCAAAGATCTAAGCAATGCTTGCAAGATCCAGACATTCGAAGGAACACGTTACGAACAACGTCTACATTGCGAATCTCCTCGTCCAAATGCGATATCGGCGCTTAAAAGCTTCCTATTTTGCGAGGGTTTAGGGTTTATCATTCCCTGGCAGCAAGGATCCAGCGGAGGATGATCCCAAGATGTATGGTGCTACAGTGATGTGGGGGCGGTCTGGTGTGGGATTTCAAGATCCCCGCCGGGATTCCTATGACAAATGTAGAGCATCCTTGAGGCGGCCAAGTTTGCAAAGAGCTTTGGTGAGTATGGTGTAGACCGTGACTTTTGACTTGAATCTTCGGACTTTTGCCTTATCTAGTATCATGGGCAATAATCATCTATGGACGAGGGTCCAATCAGCTCTGGAGCACATAGGATTCCACTGGGATTTCTCTCCACCATTTGCCCTTGTGTAAGTTCTCACTCTTTCCTCTTTGTTGGATTTTCGTGGATCCATCGTTGTGATTTTTGTGGTTCTTCCAGCTCGCAAGAATTTGTCATCCGATCGAACTCTCATGCTGGATTTGGTGCTGTGGACTGTCGATGATCCGCCACCAGCGCATCTCTTCGTCACCTCCACGGACAGTGATCTCTCTAGTGCGTTTCACTTGCTGCAGATGAAGAACTACAACGTTCTTCTGGCATGCAACTCTCACGCGGCCTCCCTGGCTCTCCTTGCCGCAGCTTCGGCAGTATGGCAGTGGGGTAAGCTCGCTAGAGAAGAAGGCCCGGTAGCACAGACAATCGTGAGCAGCATTCATCGCTCTCCCGGGAGTTTTTATAAATTCGTCACCGCCACCATGTTCTCCTCCACTATCATTTACGCTGCCAACGCTACTTTTACCTTGGTCTCCATCGCCACCAACTCCGCCACCACCACCTAGTCCAGCATCGCTTCCGCCACCACCAGCACAAGATTCTCCGCCAGGGACACTAGAGAAGCAGGAATCTTTACAGGACTTCCACAAGGATATTTGCGCACTGCTCCAACAAGCGGCTTTGACGCTCAGCCAAAAGCCTTCGGAATCGATGCTTTTGAGTGTGACCCTGGGAGAAAGGATGATCGCTCCACAGCAACAGAGAACAGGAGAGTTTCCAAGGGGAAAGCTACTGAGAGCTCGACGTCTCAGTGTAAATGCTGTGAAAGTGAAGGATGGAAACCTAGTCGGGAGCCCAGCTCGCCAGGTGCTGTCACCAGTGCCCGAGATGAAGGAAAGTGGACGTGGAGAAGGTTTTGTTCGGATCCGGGATGGAGGAAGCGGCAAAAGGCAAAAACTGCCAAGCAAATCGAGGAGATTGCGCTGGGATTGGAGGCAAGCAAGGTTCCTTTCCTCTGGGCGATACGATCAAACTCTGTTCTTGGCATGGACGAGGAGTTCCACAAAGGTTTCGTGAGCAGGACTGGCGGGAGAGGATTGTTTGTGAGCTGGGCGCTGCAGCTAGAGATCTTGCAGCACGAATCAACCGGGGCTTTTGTCACTCACTGTTCATGAGTTCGAATGTCCGGATGGCCGCCTGGGCCTCACCAGCTCGAGGGTAGGCCGCGACCATGGCGTCGTAAGAAGTTACGTGTGGAGGGATTTGCCGAAAGACAGCCTCGGCACCGGGCAGTGATCCACACCTCGCAAACATCTGGACGAAAAGCTTCTGGGAGTGGAGGCTCGCCTGGTTGGCTTCTCCGAGAGGACTGACCCCGACATGGTTGGCTTCCACGCCTTCCAAGTCCATTCCAGCGAGAGCTTGGATGCCTCGCGGCAGTGGTGGTTGTTTCCAAAGGCCGTGATCATCGCAGTCGGCTCGGTCGAAGACTGTGACGGCGTCCAGCAGGCTACGGCATTTCCCATACATGCTCCTTTCATCCTTGTCAAGGATTACATCAAAGATCTTCGTTGCCTTCTCGACAACACCATTGTGAGCAAACGCTTGCAGCATTGTAGTCTGAGCGACTACGTCCTTCTCAGGCATGAGAGCATACATCCTCTAGGCATTTTCATTTTCCCTGGCTTTGGCATACGCAGTGTTCATCGCAGTGTACATGCAAAATGTTTGGTTTCTCCATCGCATAAAAAAACGCTTCGCTCCTTCCAGCCGGTCGTGTGCTTCATAGGCTGATATCAAAGCACCCCAAAAAACCGGATTTCTCTCTCCTGTCAAACAACTCTAATTCGCGATCAAAGTCCCTTTTCTGGGTACCATCACAGTCCATGCCACTACATTCTTCTTGGGCATTCGATCAAACAGTTATTGGGTTTGATCCAAGTTCCCATCAGCTGCATAGCGTCGTATCATCACAACCCATGGCCCCACATGAGATTCGCAAGGAAAACATTGGAGCTATGGTGGCTGCTCAAAGTCCTGTGAATTTCTTTCGCCCTTGCCCAGCGAAAAAAGAAACCTCGCTACCTTTTGTGAAACTTCTATATAAGAGTTCCAAGAATTAGGTTTTGATAGGATTCTCATGGGACGTAGCAAAGAATTAATTGTAGAACTCCCAAGGGTAATGAAAGTGGAGAGGATTTTATTCTCTTCCAACACCAACAATCTCGAGTGTGAAGTATTTGGGAAAGAGGAGCAAGATGGAGAGTGGAAGTTTTTGGGTAAAACAGGTCGAGAAGCAAGATTCAAGCTCACCAAGCTGAGATTCATCCTTGTCAAGCCTCTCTCTGGATTTGAGGTATCTACAATTGTGAGTTTCTATGGCAAGGACAATGCCCAAAAGCCCGTGGAGGAGTTGGAGTTGAAATACGTCAATCCTCAACATGTGGACTATCAAAAACCTTTTAAAGTCGGCCAGCTTTCCAAGGACACTCTTGTCACGAAAGCAATTGTTCGATCCAATCTTCGGTACTACAAGTTCCGGTTGTGGGGCAACATAGAGTATCCCTGCCAGTGGTGGTTTCCAATGGGACACTATGACCAGGACAAGCCCAACCCTAAATCGCGAGAGTTGACCATCAGATACTTTGATGTGAAGAACGAAGGGAAGTTAACGCTAGCGCCTCAATGCAAGTTGAAAGTTTTTGAGAGGACTTCCACTCGTCACTCAGAGTGCGAGGAATTTGATCTACACAATCTTCCACAAAAGAAGCAGCCAAGCATCCAACAAAAGAAGCTGCTAAGCAGATGGGATTTTGTTAAAAAACTACTATACTTTGCTTTAAAGGTTTTTAGAAGTAATTAAAAATGTTTATAAACTTAAATCTATCTTAAATAAATAAAATCTTTAATAGTTCAACTTTGTCTCTTCTCTTTGTCTGATTTAGAGTAGGAAGTTTTCGTGCGACAGATAACATAAGGATATGTGTCTGCTACATAGAATTCTCACCACTAAATTTTACCACAATACGGCCACCTCTTGGACTGTATGGTTCCTATTGCCAATCATACAATTATTAGTGAAAGACAAGACGTAGAGGAAAGAACAGTGTCCAATTCAGCCCATAAGTGCTGGTATTTCAAACGATCCATCAAAACTTCCTCTTTGAAAAGCTTCTTCTTTGTTTCTTGGTCTAATCATCATCCATGGGCTCTCACGAGAAACTTCACGTTGTTCTTATCCCACTTCCAGCACAGGGACATGTCGTTCCAATCATCTATCTCGCCCGCAAGCTGGCGCTCCTCGGAGTCACTGTGACCATCATCAACGTTGATAGCATCCACGAAACCTTGCAGCAATCCTGGAAGAGCGAGGACAATCCTGTGAGTAATGGCCACAACATTCGCCTCGAGTCCATCTCTATGGACTTGCGAGTTCCCAATGGCTTCGACGAGAAGAACTTCGACGCGCAGGCCGCCTTCTGCGAGGCCATCTTCCGAATGGAGGATCCACTCGCGGAGCTCTTGTCCCGGATCGATCGAGACGGCCCCAGAGTCGCGTGTGTCGTCTCGGACTTTTACCATCTCAGTGCTCCACACGCTGCAAAGAAGGCTGGATTGGCTGGAGCGAGCTTTTGGCCGGGAAACGCTGCTTGGGCTGCCATCGAATTCCACGTTCCAAAGCTCCTGGAGATGGGAGACGTTCCTGTCAAAGGTGAAGCTTTGATTGATCTAGAAGTGTGTTCTAAGAAAACTTGGGATTTCTATGGTGCCAGCGGGAGATGAAAAGCTGATTTCTTACATCCCTGGAATGGAGCTAAGATCGCAAGACATTCCACTCTTCATGCACGACGGAGAATTCGAGAAGAACGGGGAAGAACAATCACTGTATCGCTCCAAGAGGATCGCACTGGATTCTTGGTTTCTGATAAACTCTGTCCACGACATCGAGCCGCGAATTTTCGAAGCGATGAGGGAAGGATTCGGGGAGAATTTCGTGCCGGTTGGACCATTGTTTCCTCTCAAGGGAGAGGCGATCGATTCGACTGGATTGCAAGAGGTAAACCTGAGAACTCCGGATGAATCTTGTCTTCCATGGCTAGACAAGCGTGATCGTGGTTCGGTCCTCTATGTTTCGTTTGGAAGCATCTCCTTCATGACTGCCAAGCAATTCGAGGAGATCGCGCTGGGATTGGAGGCAAGCAAGGTTTCTTTCCTCTGGGTGATACGATCAAACTCTGTTCTTGGCATGGACGAGGAGTTCTACAAAGGTTTCGTGAGCAGGACTGGCGGGAGAGGATTGTTCGTGAGATGGGCGCCGCAGCTAGAGATCTTGCAGCACGAAGCAACAGGGGCTTTTCTCACTCACTGCGGATGGAACTCCATGCTTGAGAGCTTGGCGTGTGGAGTGCCAATGCTGGGGTGGCCATCTATGTTTGAGCAAAACACGAATGCCAAGCTGGTGCTGGAAGGCGAGGGCGTGGGAGTGGCATTCTCGAGATCTGGAGGGAAGGATGGATTTGCGCCGAGAGAAGAGGTGGAAGAGAAAGTGAGGGCGATCATGGAGGGAGAGCAAGGCAGGAGATTGAAAGCCAGGGCGATGGAGATTCGAGAATTGGCTGTCAAGGCTGCTTCTCCCGGAGGTTCTTCTCACACGAACCTCAAGAAATTCGTGGAGAGCCTTGCCTCGTAAAGAAGATCTTCGCGGGGATACCGATCAAAAACGCTGTCGCGGCAACGATCATGATCGTCGCCTATGGCCAAGAGGGCGACGGGGATTCCGCTAAGCAGGTGTTTGATCGTGCCTTGCCCAGAATCTCCTTTGCTGGAACGCGATGCTCACAGCATATGCGCAGAACGTGCATTTGCATTAATTGAAGCTTCTCTTTGATACCATGCCCGAGAAAGATGTGATCTCTTGGACCGCAATGCTACAAAAACAATACCTAGTTTGATAGATGCCGAGAATGTTTTTGCAACTAAATGGAATTTAGCAACCTGGACTGCTATGGGTCATGTAAATGCCCAAGTCAGGAATATGGAAAAGTTGAGGACACGATACTAGAGAAAAATCTAGTGTTGTGGAACTCTCTCATTGCAGGATTTGCTCACAATGGATCTATCGAGAAGGCGGAGAAGCTCTTTCTCGAGATGCCTGAGTGGGATCTCATGTCTGTGAATGCTCTAATCTCTACTCATGGCAATGTCAATTGAGTGCAAGTTATTTTGGATTCCACTCCTTTGGTGAGCACCATGCTCTAGAACACGATCCTGGTGGCCTACAGTGACAATGATTGCATCATCAAGGCCAAGACCATCTTTGATTATGAGGTGGAGCAGTGGAATCTCATGTTGTGGAACTCAATGGTCTTGGTAGTTGAGTGGCAATCATGATGTAGCCTAGCAGTTGTTCAATGTGATGCTCAAATGAGATATGGTATTTTGCCACTCAATCCTTACGCAATAAGATCTAAGTATCCCAAGACTTGATTATAAAAGAGATTTAATATATAATTTATTAAGATTTAAATATAGAAAGAAAGAGCCCATAAATAAGAGTCTACCCATTAAATACTGAAGAAAACAGCCCATAAATAAAAGTGCATCCAATCCCTTTAGTTACTTATAATAACTTTTTTCTGCATCATCATCAATTCTTTTTATGCCTCCTTTTATATTGGGATTGTGGGGAAGACTTATACCATATATTTAAGAAAACTTCCAAAGCTTCCAACTTTAGAAATTCTAGATGACTATAATCTACAAAATAGATGTAATTAATCACAACACCATTTTATGGGTAATAGAGTTAAAATGGGACTTGTATTGCTAATAGAGTTTAAAATCAATACCCAAGAAACATGTAATAAATTTGCTTATTTACAAAGTTGGGTATGATATTAATGAAACTATCACACCTAGGCAAAATGTATCCTATATGCTTGCTATCAAGAAATCTATCATGCATGTTTTTGTACATCATAACTTAGAAAATAAATAGTTTAGAAGTTTTATAAAATATAAAATACCTACTTATTTTTCAGGCTTGCCTAACACTGACACCACCAAGATCCATAATGCACTTGGAGAGAATGATTTAAAATGAACTTTCATTGCATACATTATAAATTTATACATTAAGTTGGGGTTATTTAGCAGAAGGAAAATGATATGGCTAACTTCAAGTAGAAGTATTTTTGACAAAAAGAATGTATCATGCATGTTGTCATTGGTCTAATTCTCAACTTTCCCATTAATATATGAAAAACTATCTAGAAAATTGAAGAGAATGAAGTTTAAGCAAAGTTTTTTGTATCTTTCAACACGAACAGTTAAACTAGTGTTATATATCTATATTTATGTCATTTTCATGAAAGATGTCAACAATCTATTATAAAAGGCCACTAAAGACACCCATAGTGCTTTGGTGTGCTATTGGGGAAACAAAGCAAATCTATAAAAAAGCTAAGTGAATGAAAAAATAATAAATAAAATACTATTATTATATAGTATATTATTAATGAGAGTTCTTTTAACTCCTCATCATAAGCATCTCGTCAAACATGAATGAAACTACTATAAAAAATCATTGCTATAAAACACATATGTCCCCTTTTGGTTTGTAAAAGTAAGTTTTAAAATTGATATAATATTTTTTGAAC